TATCGTTGATTCCTGTGTCGTTCCCCGCGGAACAACTTAATCTCCTCTGCACACACACACACGACCCGCCGACGCAGTGACACGTACTGATCGAATTTACATCGCGTAGAATTTATTGGCCTGCCCCATAAATCCTCGCGGGCGGGCGAAGGGAGAAACGTCAGCACCTGCCACTATACACTGCTTAAGCCACGTACAGTCAGACCTGCATATATATATATATATATATATCTGTCACTCGGGGGAAACGCCAAAAATGTCCTTTATAGACAGGTGTCTGTCGTAGCGCCGTAGTCGCTCGGCATTGCAAGCCTGCACCAAATCATCCTAGTGAGGCCAAAATAAAATATAGGTGTGGTTACGGTTTCCCGACCGACCCTATTTATTCCAAGCGACCCTAAACATTTTATTGTCAATTTTCTTTAAAGTAAAAAAAAAATAAAAAAATAAAATATGAATTGGACAGGTCTTGCTTCAAAAGGCACAACGCACATCCTTCGGACATGGTTCGTAAATAAAATATTCCCTCCCTACCTACCCTATTTTTTTTCGGCATGTAACGGTAACCACACATATATTTTGTTTTGGCCTGATCAATGATGATGCACACTCCACCGAAGCTATATATATGCTCGTCAAACTTTCTCATACCTTGACTGCCAGATGAGACTAGATGGATTGGTGTTGACCCATCTGTCTCTGGTTTTGACCGTCAGCTATCGAAATGCCTACAATACGTGTGGTTGTAGTGGGTATCAAATGTTTACAGTAATTGGCTGCTATTGTAGATGGCGTACGGTATTACGTCCGTATGTTGCGTGGTTTCCGTCTCAATGTCAGCACGCAGGTTTCTAGATTTCCACATGAAATAGATGAAATGTTGACATAAATGCAAATCCAAGTCAAAAGTCGTAATAGACTGCATAATATATTTTACCGGGGGTCTCTAGCTCTTGCTCTCGCTCGCTCTCACTCTGTCTCATTCTCTTTCTCTCTGCTCTGGCATGAATAGACAGGCTCCATTTCACATTTCTAGTTGTGATAGTTTCTGAATATAGTTTACGATCGTGCATTTGTTATGCCGTCGCCTACACAAAGGAGCACGCCGGGGCGTGTTTGCCGGTGATACGGTTCACCAGAATTCGCTCGCGTGCGCGCTGCACGGCAAGCCGTCTGCCTCCCGCCCGCCGTCCTCCTCCTGCCTCCGATTCCCCGGCTCGCTGGATTCGCGTGGATGTGCTTATCTCGCTAGCGACGACCGCAGCGGCAGAAATCCGATAATGCGACGACGATTCAATGAAGTCGCGTAATCTCGGCATTCGCTGCTAGTAATTATACGGTGTAGGTCCCGCTCATTAGTACTCGGACATATGCAAATTTCACGCCTGAGCACATCCAATTAAAAAAAATCCCAATTCTGCTGGCATCGTTCCCGTTTATCATTCAGACTTTAACTTTTTTTTTTATCTATTGCCGTGCTCAGTTGTGGCAATTTTTGATTTGGGAGAAGTTATATTACACACGGAAGGCAACTTTCTTTATTTGCTTTTTATACCTTTCTCCACCGTCTTTCAAAATATCATACAGGTAAGCTTTTTGAAAACATTTGTCATAACAGCAATGCACGAGGACTTACGATGAATGTGACATCGTGCTGCCATCTACCAGCGAAAATAGGCACGGCTGTCGAACCGGCAGGAATTTTATTGATTTTTCGCACTAAGCATAAATCAATGAAACTCCAGAGCGGCCATCCAACGGTTTGTACGAATGGAATCAATGATTCCTCTGGCAATCATCGCTGGGTTGTTAGACAACTGGTTATAATCTGGTCAGCGGACTCCCCACTGTATATTCTCATGGCTTCATCTACTGTAGCTGCACACGTCATTAGGCAGCCCCAGCATCGCAGTTTTAATGACGTATCTGGCGCGGTGCCAAACACATCACATGCTGCGAGTTCATTCAGTAAGCCCTACTACAGCGTCACCCGACTATTAGATAATGGGAATAATGTAGCGCTCTCTGCTTGCATCTCTCTCACTCACGGCGCACCGGCGTGCAGATTACGATCGGCTGCACAGATGGTCACGTCACACGTTGCAGTACTCACATTTCTCTGAATTCAACTCACATATTTCTCTCATTCATCCACCACTTTCATTCGTAATCGAATTCAGCAATGTATTCACTTAATAATGAAGATGGAATGAATACAATGGGAACTGGATAAATAAAAATCACAGAACTGATTTCAGAATTGAACAGAGATGAACTGAATTTCTACTAAAACTTAGTTGTCTCTTTCACACAACCACAGAACTAAACAGCAGAAGTAACAGTGTGACTCATGTGTATGTGTTTTTATTCGATGTACAATGTGTAAGCAACATATTCAGGCTTCTCCTCAGGCTCTTAATGTATGTTGGTTGCGTCATGCCTTCAAAGTTGAAGCAATTTGCGACATCCCATATATCCTTGCCTACTCGGAATGCCTTCATTTCCAGCTATGTTTACATTTTGGTAATCCGGGCAGTAATTCTGTGTTTTCACAGCTTGATGTATAAGTCTCCGAACTGACTGAGTTTACCTACAGGTGTATTGGGTCTGTTTATGACATGTACAACCCGGCCCCCTCCCCACCCCCACGTCCGTCCACCAAAAAACATGCTTTCTGACATTTCTAGGGGAGAACCCTGATATTGTATAAACCGGTGTACAGATTCGCCAGGCATATTACTTCTGCAACAGTAGATATAGATCCAGTTACCCAAGTACAATACATTCATTATCACAATGATACAATTGTGAGGAATTTAAGTGAGTCTACTGAAGTGTAATCAAGACCAGTTTTACTACGTAAAATTACAGGTAGGCAAGCGGGATAAATCGCTGCCAGCGGAATTATAACACATGTAAGTATATAAATACCACAGAATCATCTTCGTCAATAGAATAATAATACAGACAAAGACCAAAATGTCACGACGAACTGAGGATGTCACGCAACCATGGACACGACACATGTGACTACTGGCCAGTGCAACTGATTTACAACTAACCTGATTGGACAATATTTTATAAGAGTATCATGACTAAGCCTGCATGGCGGAAACCAACAATGTCATGGTGCATTTTAGGTGCAAGTCAGTATAAACACATCCCATACATGACATGTGAAATCACTTCTCTGGCACTTTACACTCATTTTTAACTCTGTTTTGCCAATCTGTACACCTGGTTAGAGCATTAGGCTTAGGCAATATATATGTAAGGGCAATTCCTAGAGATGTGTATTTTAAACTATGCAGGGTTCTGCCCAGGATTTTTTAGTGCCAGGCGCATCCAGTTGCGATGAAGTCGCAAGATGCAAGCACCGTAGAAGCGAAGCCAATCTAGGGGGGGCCGGGGGCATGCCCCCCATGAAAATTTTTGATTTTTGATAGTCTGAAACTCAATTTCCTGCATTCTGAGCAATAGAAAGCCCATATATCACTTTTTTATTTTATTTTTTTTATATAAAAAATTAGTGCCAGGCGGAGATATATAGTGCCGGGCGGTGACCGCGAGTGCCGGGCACACCCGCCCACCGCCGCCCACCGTGGGCAGAACCCTGATATGTTTGGCACTGTGAGTGATTAAACATGCCTCCCTGTACTGTAGGAGTGAGTTCATTTGTGATTATCACACTTTGATTTCATATTGCTTGTTATTTATCATATATGTATTTATAAGCATTTGGTTTTGGGGTGGCAAAATTAGGAATACTACTGTGATTCAAACATCGGTAATATCCAATTTACTGAATATTTGAGTGTATAACTACACCTAGTCACAATCCAAATAACATAAAGTAACTGATTTATAGAAGAGCCTAAAAAATCTATTGCAGTAGCTATTCTTAACGTGTAGGAGACCACCTTTGTAAATTGTTAAACACTGATCATCATCCCCATTAGTTGGTTTAATTCCATGTACCATCGCAATATCCATGCATGCTCGTGCATTGTCACTTTTCCTATTCAATACCCTTAAAAACACCAACTCATCATTGTCATTAGCATTCACAATATATTAATTACATTTCTCATTAGCCGGCTTAATTTGTAACCATATTGTCAAGTGCAGATTTATATGACATCTATCTAATTTCTCTCCCAACTTGACCTGAACATTAACACCTGTAGACCCTAAATGGGATACAAAACTATGAGATGGTGCATATCTATTATGTAAACAACACAATGCTACAATCTAGACTTTTCTGGTTTCCGTGTCCATGCCAGATTTTTACATATTCCGCTAAAATTATATTCTTGACTACTACATATAATATATTAATAATAAGAACTCATTAGACTACTAGTACTACTACTAGTATTACTTGGGTCATGATATTTCGACTGAGTATCCCTATCATTGTATCAATAGGCCTACTATTAATAGTTCTAACATTTTCATATGATTCTTACGAACCCCTAGGCTATGATAGGCCTAGAGGCTAGTGTAGGTATAACCCTATAATGAGTAATACATTTCATAATAATGATTTATACATTTCATATATATAGCGTCCACGTGGGCAAACTGCACTACGTTAACACTGAATGTAAACCACAAATCTTTGGACAGAAGTGGCCGGCTCAAGTGCAAGTCTGGTATTTAATAATAATATTGTTAATATAATAACATTGTTATTAATTATTATTATGGCTGTGACATGGTTTTAATTACTGACAGTTAAATACGAATATAAGCTCGTAGTGCCATATAGCAAGCGTATGGCGCAAGTCGAATAAACTAATATGCTGTGTAAATTGTTACTCCCACCACACTGCGCTGGAGTAACAATACTAGTCAATACCACTACCAGTAGTAGTACTACTACTAGCAATGAAGCGATGACGTGAATCAGGGAAACTGTAATTTGGGAAGGAGCCATTCAATTTCAACAAATCCAAAATTGAAAAAGGAGAGTACACATCAGATATTCTAGGTACCTGCACATGCTCCTGGAAGCGAATCGGGTATTGCGTGGCCATGGTTCTGCCTCGACGTCCCTGTCGTCCAGTCTTTTACATGTAACAAATCTTTGCAAATCTTTCAGAGTAGCCACATATGCAGTTTTTCAAGATGGCAGCCGCCGGGTCAGAGGGAGGGAAAATAGTTCTATGATGACTAAGGGGTTATTTGCAAATGTAAGTAAAAGCATACAACCATAAATGTAGCTTCTAACGTTTTTTAAACGTACTGTCTAAGTAAATATGCACACACAATGTTTTAATGCTTTCTTATAAGAACACACCATCGAACTATTTTCATGACGTCATTGACAAGTGAGCAACACCACTTAGGTCAAAGTTCACCACCAACTCTGTTTCTGCCGGGAAAGGTGTTTGATATCTTATTATATTATCGGTTAATATCTTGGTAATCATGGCTGATGATAAGGTAATATTTCGTTACTATATAAACCAACGTTTTTGAATTTTCATCATGTAGGCTTTTTGCATATTTTGTACTCTGTTAATGTGAAGAGTATCAAAGTATCCAATGAAATCTAGCATCACTGCGTTTCTTGTTCATTCGCCTGCTCTATAGTTCGTTCCACTAGAATCCGTCTTAGCGCATTGTCTGGCAACGAATTTCATGTTTATCATACACAAAACCTTATCTTCAACCTATCTACTAAACTACGCCACCTCCACTGTCCATAGTCCGGTTCAAGGATAGAGAACATGGGTCCCAATAAAACCAATGTCTGTCATTTACATCAATATAAATATAATAATAAATTAATATATCAATATAATACTATTAATAGGTTAGGGTTATGGTTAGGGTTATTGTTAGGGTTAGGCACATTGGTTTTATTGGGACCCATGTTCTCTATCCTTGGGCCGTTAGGGCCAGGGTTAGAATTAGGGTTAGGGTTAGGCACATTGGTTTTATTGGGACCCATGTTCTCTATCCTTGGGCCCATAGTCCACCTGTGCCACATTTCCTCCAGAACTAAGTGACACTGACACTGTGACAGGGCTTTAAATTTAATTATGGAGAAAAATGGTGTCATCATTGGGGTAAAATTAGTTACTTAGTATTTCTAGTGACGTAGACAAGTGCCGTGGTTTTTCAGTAGCTTACGTGATTAGGGAACACTACGGTATGCCCTAAGCTGACTAGACGTGATGCGGCCATGATGCCGAGGCGCACCGAGGATTGACACTTTGTCTTCCAATCACAGCCAGTTGTGAGACACTGAGAGAATTAAATGGTAAACGGTCGAAAGATAGACAATCTAGTGGTAGTATGCACTCGGTCTAGTCCTACATGGCTCAGACGTGGAATGATATAACATGGTGGCGCGAATTCATAAATTTGGTTGCATTCGTCTCAAAAAGTCGCTGTAGCCCCGTAAGTACCCAGCGCATCGTAGCGCACTGATGGTTACAAGAAGGTGGATGTATGCTGATTCATTTGGTATACCACGTGAAGTGTTCTTTGGCGATACTTGGCAAATAAGACAACTACGTGTTTAGCTGCAGCCAATGTTTGAAACAGTTTTCTAACCCTAGCAAGACCGTTTCTTGGAGCTATATTCGGACCAGAGTTCCCACCATACATCCTCATCGTTACGATGTCCCCAGAGCCTGATCCTAAATTCATCACAGTATCATGTGCCTATCAAATTGTACTGTCGTTAGTCGAGCCCTATTTTAAACAAAATGTCAAGATGCTGATGTTTTATTAATGAGGATACTAACACGATCACGGACACATGCTGCTATTAAATATAAACTCAAGAGGTTAATATGTTTATTTCTTTGTGCCACATGTTCAATGAGGTGGGGAAGAGTTTAAATATATCGGGTTTGTTCGCGGTGTTGTTCGCGTACTAAACGCAATGGTGTCCTAGTTTAGAGATCTACGATCATAAACCTTGTGAGTTCGTCATACTGTAAGTGGAACATTCCGACAGGCAGGGCTCGAATTAACCGACGGCACCGACGGCAATTGCCGTCGGTGCCCCTATCAATCGCCGTACTGCCCCTGAAAATCCAACCCGACCGACGGCAGTCACCTGCCTTGCCCTTTTGTGTAATTGCCGTCGGTGCCCTTTAATCTACTGCCCTAGTTTTGTTTTTAGTCGAATCAACATAACATGTGCGCGTGCGTGCTGTAGTTGCAATGATGAGCTAAAAACCGATAGTCGCAGGAGGGAATAATAACAGCATCGGATAATTATTTGCTCCTGATAGCGGGCATGTAAAATTTCTTGTTACTGTACTTCCATTAGCAGAGGTGGGTACGGGGGTCAGTGTTACGGTGTAAGCTTACATGGGGGCATATTGTTTTGTACATTAAAAGCAAGACGATGTTGATGTACTAATTTGTTATGAGTTTCCCTTTATTTTACAAAAGTGCCTTGGTGCCCTTCTCAAATTTTGAGAGTTGCCTTGGTGCCTTTCTATTTTAGAGAAAATTCAAGGCGATTTCTCACATGCCCTAAAAAAATTGCCTTGCCCTTCTCGTCGCTTAATTCGAGCCCTGCCGACAGGGATTGCTATAGCATTTTAATCAACAATTTCTGCAACATGGCGATAGAAGGAATCTTAGTGGTGTTATCAAATTTTGGAATAAATCAAAACAATTGCAGTGGAAATGCAGGCTTGACAATGACTTCATGCAAGTTTATTTGTTTTCGTATAATCATGCAAGAGTGGGATAATCAAACGTGATTTATTTCAATAAGTGAGAATGAACCTTTGCAACCAATTACACATTTCAACTTTCTTATCTACATACACTATCATTTCAATAACATTCAATTGTGATAATTAAAACATCAGTGAAAATTAACCAAATCACCAGCAAACAACAGCATCTGTTTCAGTAATCATTTCTTTATCAGTTCTAGTGGTTCTAGCTCTACAAGTGAAACTGGTCGCGTGTATATTCATGATTGTTCAAATCGTGATGTTGATTTACTTCGGCTTGGGGCATGTCAAATGTTGCTTTCAGTTTAGGATCCAGAATTTTAGGATCACCACGGTAAGTGGAACTTACCAAAGCAAACATACCTCTAACGAAGGTCTATCTATGAAACTTAATTTTTTACGACGCGTTAATTGGTATAGCGGAATACGTAAACACGACATTGAGGAATTTATGGTGATGGCACACGAGGGGCCGGCCACGAGGGCAGCCATGAGGGGCCGGCCAGGTAGGGCAGCCATGAGGGGCCGGCCAGGTAGGGCAGCCATGAGGGTGCTTGCAGTCAGTGGCGAGAAGTGCAGTGAGATTTGAGTCCCGTTGAATCTGTTATGGCTTTGTCGTTTACAGGCTGACCATCATTCGCACACAGATGAAGTGCTCTCGTCTAGTCCTGGTGTCCACTTCGAGCCTATCTTGCAACTACCTCCCGTCGAAACAAAGACATTGGAAGAAGACGAAGAAGAGTTTTTCAAAATGTGAGTGAATATCTGTGCGACTGATACAGCAGGTGAAGAGAGATAGCCGTCGCAGTGCTCTCGCCGTTGACACGTGCTTTGAGCTAGCTAGCAACCTTGTGCTCACCGGCAGCACAGTATCTGTCGATCGACGCTTGTTTTAAACGGAGCGTTTTCTATTACAGGAGAGCCCGTCTTTATCGGTTCGATTCATCGATGGACCCGCCGGAGTGGAAAGAGCGAGGGACGGGCGACGTGAAGATCATGAGGCATAAGCAGAAGACACTCATGCGACTGCTGATGCGGCGAGACAAGACTTACAAAATCTGTGCGAATCATTACAGTAAGTCTCCTGTAACAGCGAGTGCTGACACACGCTGAAATAAGGGTACCTTAAGAGTAGTAGTAGTATAGACATGAGTGTGCACCAACGTTGAGAAGCAATTAGGTCCAGTTCTGGGAGTGCAGTTGGAAAGTATTGTAGGTTACACTAATAGCATTTCTCTGTTAAAAGTGACCTGTCATGGCATTCTGGTTTATTCAGACGCGCCTTGACATCACCCATGGGAAATCCAAAAAATTGTACTTTATAAATGAATGTCCAATTTATAGAGATGGTTTCAGTGAGTAACTCGTAATCAAGGGAAATACCAAAAGTCTCTTTAATAGACCTGCTACCACAATACCTATATACCTGCTATTCAAGGGAAATGCCAAGCATTTTTCAGACAGGTATTCGCCAACCCAGGTTTGACTGTAAATTGTTTTGCCTATTACAGTTTCTCCCTACATGGAACTGAAGCAGCATGCGACCAGCGATCGGGCATGGGTGTGGAGCGTACCAGCAGACTTTGCCGATGAGTCAACGAAACCAGAGTTGTTGGCCATCCGATTCGCAAACGTGGAGAGTAAGTGAATCGTTTTGCGTACACAGCGTTTTTCAGACTGCCGAGTGTTCGTGCTCATCTGTCGTTCGTTTTTTTCCCATGATGTTTTAAAAGAAGGGCTGACAACGATGATAACAGATAGTTTTCTTTATAGTTTTATTAATCCTTCAATAGATTTGTCAGATGTTTTGTTTAATAGTTTGTGTACAATTTAATTATTAGTAATTCTTGAAATTATAGCTGCTTCGGTCAGAAAAAACTAAATTGGTTGGTGACCACCGTGCTGTTTGTTTATCATTGTGTTTGTTTGTTGTTGTCATGGGCGCGGGTGCTCCTGCTCATCGTCGCCGTCTTCAATTTGTGTTGCAGACGCTCAGAAATTCAAGGAGAAGTTCATAGAAGCGCAGTCGCTCGTCAGATATGCCGAGTCGGGAGATTCAGGTGAGGACGTGTTCCGTTGTGATTCTGGTCGACCGCCGTTGCTTTCGTTGCTAATGCTCGCGCGGTTATGCGTATTACACATTAACGCGTGTTTGTGTGTTTACGTTCGGGCCGAGTGTCCATCATGTGCGTCGCCTCCATTCCCGAATATCGACCCGGAGCCGTTGTTTTAGATGACCGATTATTTCGTAGAAGCAATGATTTTTTTAACGTCGCCCGGAATTTACGTTTCAGGTGGAGAAGACGATGAAGATGAGAAGGACCATTCTGCCGAGGAAAAAGCAGAGAAGGAAGAATCGGAGGTGAAGAAAGAATCAGAGGTGAAGGAAGCCACAGCGGAAAATGAAGATGCAGAGGCTGACAGCGTAGCGGAGAAGCTGGCAGGGCTGGAGGTGAAAGATCAAGGGGCGGGCGACGGCGACAAGACAGAGGGCGCCACAGAAGAGAGTTCGGCGAAACAGGAGTAGGCGGCGGTTTGGCCGCACGAGGCAGCGTTCGAACAATCCCTGCACCGACCGAGCATCCCCTCCGAAGTGTCTTCTAAGCAGCTTGCCGATCTATATCTAGAAACGTCTCTCCTCTCCCTCACCGGCTGCCGTCGTCTCTCCTCTCCCTCGCCCCTCGCTGGTTTGGGCCAGGGGGCACCACTGGTAGGGGGTTCGCCGTGCTGGACTCACGACGCTCGCGTGCTGTCGTTAACACACAGGAGACGGCGGACACCCCATGAGCCAACCTCGCTCGTCTTAGATTGCCTTTTGTGACTGCCGGATGAACGACCCCCAGAACGACCCCCAGTCTCCGAGGGCCCAGATGCAACCCACCCTGCTCCCCAACGACCCCCTTGTCTTGTCGTCGTGGCGACTGGCAGCTGCAGCGTCGGCGTCCTTAGTTGTTCTCCAATGGTTGTCGGCGATTTTCGCTAATCGAGTAGATTTGCACGGCACATGCGGCGGCAGATAAAACGTAGAGATGAAACGAGCGTGGGGTGAAACTTTTTAAATTCGGAACAGACTGTACAAAGCCATTGCAGTACACTGTACATACACGTGTGGGTCGTGCTTACTATGTCACATGTAAAATCACCGCGTAACCCTGGAACCGTTTACATGTGACGTATTGACTTCCATTGTACAAAGTTTGAGATTTACTGTAAGGACTGTTTCGTGTAGTTTTCTTCACTGTCTAAAGGTCAATAAAGAGTCGCGTAAACAGTTTTCCTGTAACCTGTGCATGTTCGCCTCTTTACTTGATGGACCGCTTTTGTACGAAATGGATAATACATACAAAGAATAACACAAAGCGAATAATTTGAGTAGTATTTACATAAGTTTTATATGTGGCATTGCTGCAATGCATGGATCCGGTGTGCACGCATTATGTACATGTTGACGACCAACGCGGTGTGAGCGTACGACACTACGACAGCGCGAGGCTCTTGCTAGATCGCACGATGTCCGTAAAGGCCTTGTGGACGGCGTGGCAGAGGAGGCTGTCCTTCGGGAGCCCCCTGGGGCTCTCCGTGTCCGAGTCGCTCATCCACAGTTCATCTGGAATCCGAGAAATCCTGTGTTAAAATGCGGAATCTATCGATCGTTGGCTCAACGTTCGCTCTTAGCACAGATAGAGATAAGAGAAGAGCGTGATTCTCTCTGGACGGACATGCGGCCGGGTTAATGCGTGTGCGCGGCAACACCGCCCCTTTTTGTCCTCTTAGACAGATTAACCTGAACGGCTGTGAAACGCAACTTTGTGAAAACGAGGCGGTTTCCAAGCGACATTTCGCGATCGACGCCTGGAGGCCATCTCCAAACGGCCGAGAACTGCTCGAGGGGGTCGCGCGCCTCAAGGTTAAGACGTAGTGGCTGCTACAAGAAAAGCCAAGAAATGCTGTCAATCACCGACCACATGCTCGCTCATTGGCCGCTAGGGGATGACGTCGTTCGTTGCCGAACAAACCGTGATGTCAATCACGCACGTTTTTACGAACACGGCGGAGCGGCGGTCGGGGAACAACGCACCTTTTGCGCAACGCAATCTTGTACCCGGTCTATCTGGACATGTCTGTCCTCTTCTTACATATACATGTTATGTTGGGCTTATAAGGAAGTGACTGTTGTTGGACAGTAATATAACCTATAAAATACATGTATGTATATATATATGTACAAATACATACATTAATTTATATTATTTTATATACGATTTATAACGACTGCACGACCGATGCTTGGTGACGGATGCTCTTACCTATGGTGACGGGCGAGTGGCTGTTGTTAATGGCAACGTGAGCAGACGTCATCTGTGCAAGCTGGGTGAGGAAGGCGACGACGTCGTCGCACAGCGGGGGGAACGCCCGGCAGAAGCGCACCATCGCCGGCATGACGGGAATGTACACGTCTGCGTACACGTCACTCGACAGCACTGAAACAAGAGAGCGTGCGTTCCGTATGCCGATGCGCGTACACGCGCACTGTGTGGTGCAATAATGCTACTGCAAATCAGACACACGCATCCAGACTTAAACACCTTTTTAATGACTAGTTCGGGTACTCTCAGGGGCCCAAACCAATGGTATTCGACGCAGAGCAACTTCGTTGAACTAGCTTTATTCTTTCGGGTAAACATTGGGATTGGGAGCGTTGGGACAAATATATGCGCTATTCCTGTATGCAGCGTGCTCCGATCGAGAAATTTCGCAATTTACTTCTTTCCTTGTACTACGTCGTCTTGTACCATAAGATCCATTATCTTAAGGCTACCTTAAGGTACCTTAAGGTTGTACCTTCGTACTTCCTTCATCCATCCACCTTTCTCCCTGCTCTTTACTTATTTTTGTGGTATTACTTAAGCATGCATGAAAAATGACTTGCATGAGAAATACGCTACATACTCGTGAGGAGGGTTGACAGCACGTTGACAGCTAGTCTGGCGACACTCAGCGACTTGGGTAGAGCGTACTGCAGGCACAGGTGAGAGGTCAGCTCTACGGCGAATATCTACAACAGAAGTGAGTAATTCGCATTAATCGGTAACACCACCTGTGTGTTACCTCGTTCCACTCGTTAACTTACCTGATCATTAGCACATTTCATTCTTTATCTCACGTGATTGTTACTGCCCCATTATCTTATTTAATTGGTAGTGCACCTCTCTTGTTATATTATCTGATCATTGGTACACCTCTTGTTATCTTACCTGATCATTAGCACACCTTGCTCATGATCTTACCTGATCATTAGTGCACCTTGCTCGTTACCGTACTTCACTCATTACCTCACGTAATCGATAATAAACATCGCTCGTTATCTCACCTGCTTCTCGAGCTGAGGCTGACTCAGCAGTTCCGGAATAAAGTCGAGGCAGATGTGCATGCTAGGTATGCCTGCTACGGTGACGGGGAGGAGCTCAGAGCGATAACCCTGAAACACAACAAACAGAAAAGCTAACTACAGAAAGCCACCCATGAGGAATGTATCAAACCTGGTAATCACCTAATGAAATAATAAAAACATAATCCATAAAACATAAACATAAAAAAAAAAAATTAAAAAAAAAACATCCAATAATGCACCGAATTAAAAATTCACAATGATCGAATTACGATGAATTCAGTAATGTTAGTTAAAAAATACAATAATAATGATAATTAAAGCTAACGAGATAGCGGATCTGACCTGGAAGTGGACGAGCTTGGCCAGAAAGGGGTCAGCGATGAACGTCTGGTGTAGGTAGGAGCAGACGATACAGCGAACCTCCTGTAGGTCAGACAGCAGGCTGTCGTCACTCTGCAAACAAACAACGAATACGTTGCACCGCCGTTAACACAACCACACGCAAAACTACTGAGAGGCAGGAGGTATAAGAAATATTTTTGCACACACAAAGCATTGCTAAAATGGACGTGACCTTGATAACCCTTCTTCGAAGGAAATATTTACGTCGGCCGGGCGATTACTCCAATGCCTTTTATGGCATTAACTTCCCATAGAATTTCTCATTAAAAACCGACAGCAACACTCCTCCTCGTCATAACAATACTAAGACCCTCCCCCCTCCACCCGCAGCTCCTCGGCTACGCGGTGATTCCCTCCACCCGCAGCTCCCCGGCTACGCGGTGATTGAGGTTAGTGCTTATAGTTACCCGCTCGTCAGCGTTGGGCAGACAGATCTCGAGCAGCATCTGCACGGCCGCGCTCTCCTGCGCCGCGAGAAGAGCATTCTTCAGCTCCTCCCTCTCGACGTCGCCCGCTCCCGCCCCGGCCTTCTCCGGCACCGGATGCGACTGTATGTGCGTGCAAAGGTACGCGCGCGACGCCGCCAGGAAACTCGTCAGCAGACGCAACACGATCTCCAGCACAGGGGGACACCTGGTGGCAATAACGGAAAACTTTCGAATCCGCGGGGTCGTTACGCATTGCGTTCCGAACGCTAGCATTAAAGTATAACATTATATATACATATCAAGAGCGGATAATACCTTGGTATTATCCGCTCTTGATACATATACATATGTACATATTGTTATATGCTATGATATTGATATATAAAGCTTTTTAAACACTAAATATTTTGATTATACTTTTTGATCAATAATGCCCAGCAAATACATTGCATTAGCTATGTAAGTGTATCGCTAACAGAAGCAAGCACTGGTAGAATTCAACTAAACAACGCCGCGGGAAACGAGCGACGCTCGTTGTCTCGCTCACTCGTATCACTCCGCCCGAGTCTCGCGCCGCAGCACGCACCTGAACGCGCGCGGGTCGCAGCGCAGCACGATCAGCGGATCGACGACGACGTCACTCTGCACGTACTCCACCGCCGGCGTCGCCTCCCCCGCCACGCCGCCGTCCCCGCCTCCCGCGCCGCGCCGCCGCAGAGCGTTCACCGTCATCACGCTCAGCTTGAGCGGGATCACCGTGTTCAGCTTCACCCAGAGCCGCCGCAGCAGCTCCAGCGTGCGGCGCGGAGCAGCGCCCCCTAGCAGCCGCGCCATCGCACCGACGATGCAGTCTGCGTAGGGCAGGAGGCGGCTCGCGGGCCGCGCGGCGAGCTGCTCGAGCAGGATGACGGCCCGCGCGGGCCGCCGGGCCGCCTCGTCCAGCGCCGCCTTCACCGCGGCGACCGTGCAGGGCAGCGATGGTGGCGCCATCTGCACCTCAAGCTGCGACATCTCGATGTCCTCCGACATCCAGTCCTGAACCTGCGCAGCGCACACGGCACAGACGTCATCATTGATGTAATAATATAATACTAATACAACATAGTAATACTAATAGTAATAATATAACATTAAAGTAGTATTATAGTACGACCAGAATTAATGAAATACTATAGAAAATTAGAAAAATAAAACAATAGGCATAAAAATCACGTAATATTTGACTCCTGATACTAGATAACATATAAGCAACATATATATAATTAGATAATTAAATTAAATTAATCAATCGATATAATTATACTAAAATATATACCAACATCAAACGACGAACCGCAGACACAATCTACATAACACAATTTGTAACCGCGTCAATCAAACTCTCCCTACCCCCCCCCCCCACCTCAACCCCGGACGTGGGTGCCTGCGGCGGTGGTGGCGTACCTGGCACAGGTGCGGGTAGTGTGTCGCGAGCAGGCGCAGCAGGGGCGCGAACAGCCCCGCGTAGAGCTGCTGCTGCCGCTGCGCACGCTGTATCAGGTGTTTCATAGGCAGCTGCACGAACAGCTGCGGCGGGTACGGTGGCGCCCCCCGGCGCCCCGCGGCGAGCAGCGCGCGCGTGTTCGCGAGCCGGCAGTCCTCGTACAGCAGCAGGTAGTAGAGCATGAGCAGCTGCGCCGTCGCCCCCGACGACGTCCGCTCGACGGTCGCCGTGACGACCGCGTCGTCGTCATCGTCGTCGTCGTGCTGCATGAGCGCGGAGCAGCGGAACGCGTCGAGGACCTCTCGTTCGCTGATCGCCTCGTTAGTCTGCTTGTAGTCGCCCTTCGCTGGCGGCACGATGACGGAGGTGACGTAGGACTGCAGCAGCGGCGGCAGCAGCGGGTGCAGCGGCGTGCTCGCCTCACGAATCTGCCTGCAGATCCAGTCCTGACACGGCGAGATGGCGACGGTATAGCCGATATACTTATATATATATTATTATATATGCAGAATATACGAGTATATTTTATATACTCATACAATATCATATATGATTATACATATTAATATGTATATATATATATTGATGTGCTTCATTAGAAAGTGCATATATAACGATCACTTACAACTCTCTCAGCTTTACACTTCTGCAAAGTCAAACCCTAACTATCATCATTACATCTCCCTTTCACTATAATACGCCCACTCCTACATGCCACTACAGTTTCTATTACCTTCCGTTGCTGCTTTGTCTACCTCCCCTACTGCTATCACTACCTTTCCCTACTGCTATCCCTACTTTCCCCTACTGTTCTCTATTTTTGGTGCATTAATTTCGGTACATCTTCCTGAACGCGTGTGAAGGCGTCCTAGAGTCGGTACGGTACCTTGATGGGAACCTTGTGTTTGGTGAAGGCGCGACTCTTCAGCAGCTGGTGGATGCAGTGGACAGGCAGGTATCCGGTCATCGTCGCGTTGAGGTCGGGCGTGACAGGCACCCTGACCGCGTGAGACGTCACCACCTGCTCCGTAAAAATCTCCTGAGTGAAGACAGCCTTGATACGACCCATCGCGCTGATGCGCACCGCGATCTGTCGCAGAGATAAACACAGACATATGTCATAGATAAACACATCATGCATGCCGACCCATCGCCAGCTGATGCCCGCACCGCGATTCTGCTGGGGCGCGCTTCGCCAGAGACTAAACACCAGACATATGTCATTAGATAAACACATTAGCATGCGACCCATCGCGCTGATTGCGCACCGCGATCTGTCCGCAGAGATAAACACAGACATATGTCAATAGATAAACCCACATACATGCCGACCCATCGCCGCCGCTGATGCGCACCGCCGGATTCGGTGCTCGCAGTAGCAGAAACACAGACATTATGTCATAGATAAACACATAGATGCGACCCAATTCGCCGCTGATTGCCGACCGCCAATCTGTCACAGAGAGAAACACAGACACATGCTCAAGTAAACACATAGCATCGCGGCCCATCGCCCGCTGATGCGCCACCGCCGCATCTGTCGCCCAGCAGAGCAAAACACAGACAGTATGTCCATAGATTCAAACACATGAGCAATCGCGCACCCATCGCGCTGATGCGCACCCGGCGATCCTGTCGCAGTAAGCAAACACAGACATATGTCATAGATAAACTACCATAGCATGCCGACCCCCAGTGTTTTTTGCCGCTGATGCGCACCCGCTAATCTGTCACAGAGAGAAACACAGACATATTTGTCATAATGAAACACATAGCATGCCCGACCCATTCGCCCGCCCTGATGCGCCACCGCCAATCCTGTCACAGAGAGAAACACAGAGCGACATGTCATAGATAAACACATAGCATGCCCGGCCACTCGCGCTGTTCCATGCGCACCGCGATCTTGTTCGCCAGAGAGAAACACAAAGACATATGTCATAGATAAACACATAGCATGCGACCCATCGCGCTGATGCGCACCGCGATCTGTCGCAGAGAGAAACACAGACATATGTCATAGATAAACACATAGCATGCGACCCATCGCGCTGATGCGCACCGCGATCTGTCGCAGAGAGAAACGATAGCAACGTGTATACAATATGTCAGCGACGATAAAACATGGCACCGCGTGGTTGCTATACAATACTGTCAACAGCATATAAACATGGCACGGTGGTGTTACAATAATGTCACAGATAACGAGGCCGGTGGTGTTACAAGTATGTAGCAGATAAACATGGCACGTCCGGTGTGTATCATATGTCACATGAAACAACTGCACGGTGGCTGTTACAATATGTCAGCAGATAAAACAGGACGGTGGTGTCTTACAATACTGCTCACAGATTAAACCACGGCACGTGGTGTTACAATATTGTCACAGATAACATGGCACGCGCTGCGTGTTCAATATTTGTCCAGATAAACATGGCACGCGTGGTGTTACAATATGTCACAAGATAAACATGGCACGGTGTGTTACAATATGTCACAGATAAACAGCGCACGATGGTGTTACAATATGTCACAGATAAACATGGCCCAGCGTGGTGGTTACATATGTTCACAAAAACATGGCCGTGGTGAATATGTTAACATGGAGGTTAGTGCTTCATATTCATGCATAGATAACATGGCACGGTCGGTGTTACAATATGTCACAGCATATAACACGGCACGGGTGGCTGTTTACAATATGTCACAGATAAACATGGCACGGTGGTGTTTACAATATGTACACATAAACATGGGCACGGTGGTGCTTAAATATGTCACAGATACAATCATGGCATGGTGGATGTTACAATTATGTCACAGATAAACGGTCACGGTGGTGTTAAATATGTCACATGAGAGTAAACACGCATGCACGGTGCGTGTTACATATGTTCACAGATAAACATGCGCCCACGGTGTGGTGCTTACAATATTGTCACACATAAACATGGCACGCGGTGTTACAATATGGTCACAGAATAAACATGGCTATCAAGGGTGGTGCTTACAATATGTCACAGATAAACACGGGCACGGTGGTGTTACAATATGTCACAGAGAGAAACACAGCACAGCACGGCACGGCGGTGTTACTGTCACAGATAAACACATAGCATGGAGATGTTACCATATGTTTCAGGATATAACACAGAGCACGAGCTGCCAACTGTTTAAAATACATCTGCGCCAGGCTGGTTTTTAGCACAATTCTTAAAAGCTGTGTTGTACATTATAGTCTGTAACTCCGAACTGTGATTCTATATGGGAAAAACTACTTTACATGATGCTAGGTGAATGTTCAGTATAGCTTTTGAACTCGTTTATTGTGTTGAGCACAATAAATCTTACGACAACATTGTATTTGTGATAATCAAGTCTGGCACTTCGTTTTCATTCAACTGTTCAATCCTGATATGTATCATACCTTCATTCCCAGTGTGGAGCAGACGAGGTCAATGATAGCATTCGTTTGGTTGCCATGGAAATGGATGGCCAACAGCAACAGCAACTCCCCGAAGCTGGCATCCACACCACTAGCTCTGAAAGCAGCAATCCAGCGACCATCAAACGTCAGCCATGAATCGAAGTTAGTAAAACCCATAATTTTGAACATGTTGTTAAAGAAAGTCTCAGGTTGAACCCGAAACGTATAATTGTAGATGATTTTTAGCAAAGGAAAATATAACATTACAACTGTAATGAAATCTCAAGTATTAATACCTAATAATATTAATAATAATAATAACGAAAACACTAATAATAATATTAATAATAACAACAACTGCAACAATAATAATAATAACAACAAAATCAGTAATACTAATTAACAACAACAACAATAATCATAAGGGACAATAACGCACGCGTGCGTTCCTGCGTATCTACTCGTAGTTACCTCTCGAAGCTCGCCGACTCGGCGAGGAACCAGCGGATCCACTGCACGACGCGCCTCTCTTCCTCCGGGTTTGTGATGAGGATCGGACACGCGATGAGCATGCACAGCCCCAGCGAGAGGAAGCGCACGCCGGCAGACGTCGGCGGCGGACGACTCGTCACCAGCTGCACTAGCAGCTTCGTCTCCTCCTCGCTCAGCCTGCAGGGGGCGCCACCGCACAGGTTAGCGCGGCGAAAAACCGTGCGTCGGTGCCAAATTAAATTCTACTGCTCTAAGGCTAGGTGGAAGGAATTCTTGCAAAAATTTCCGCGTAACACCTTCCAAACTAGACGACGATGAAGCTGAATTGTATGCCTCAATATCCATGATTATTATTAGTTCATTATTGTGTTAGTTCGATGATTATGTTATTCCTTATTATATATAGCCTTACCGGTATCGCGGTATTTTCTCATGATAAACATTAGTGCAGACGTGGGAATTTAGTCGAACGATTATATCAGTCGATCAATCGTACACATCCGCACACCGAAATTTACGATAAATAACCATCATAAAATACACAACGCTTCGCAGCAAAGCGGCAGCAGGTGGCGCCACTGCTTACTTGAGCGCGGCGATGCCTCGCAGGGCGCAGTATAGACGCAGCAGGCAGCTCGCCTGCACGACGTGACGATGAGGCAGCACGCCGTCCGCCGGCGGCGTCACGTTCAGCAGCTCCAGCGTTAGCTCCTCCCGTAGAGACGTCAGCGCGCAGCTGCCGTCACGCCGCTTCTGCAAACACACACAAAAATCACACAAACGGGTAACGCCATCTATCAGGACAAAAACGAAGTAAACGAATGACAAGAGCTTCGAGCGAGAGTAGCGGCGTGGATCGTTCTTCTTACGTTCTGCCTGCTGCGAAGTAACTGCGCGGTGATGCCAACTATTGGGACGAAAAAAGGTTAACGAATGGTTAGAGTTTAGAGCGAGAGTAGCGATGTGGATGTCGTTACCTTCTGCGCACCGCGAATGTACTGCGCGAACCAGACGCGCACGTTGACGTCGTTGCCAAGCAACAGGCCGCTGATGAAGGCCACCAGGTCGCTGGAGCAGTCGCCGTGGTTACCGCCGTCGATGTCGTCCTCCAGTGCTGCCATCTTGTAGTGGTCCAGCGTGAGTGCGACGGCCAGGCCGGGAAGGCGGCAGTGTTCAATCTACGGCAGAGATCGTCGCATGAATCGACTTAACGCAGTTCCAGCAAGCAATGAAGGATCAGAGAGCACAAGTGAAAACAACCGACTAGTTCCGCTTACTGCAATACAACAGAGATAACCTACACGACTGCTTATGCTATAGATCTAGTGGTTAAATATTACATGAACGCATAAGCAGACAATATAAATTACGATACAAATTAATCCATTAGACATTAATAATCGTTAAATTATAATTCGAATTCATAATCAATTAGACAATGTGAATAGCAAGTGTAAGATGTGACTAAACATGCACGTTTCTCTGGCACGATGAAGTGCATATATACGTACAGTCCAAGCTCTGATGTTCAGCGCTCCGGCTGGATTCATCTTGCCAAGCATTCGTAGCGCCTTCCCTCTCACAGCGCCCCCTGGTGACTCCTCATCCTGCTTCTCTCCACTGGCTACCAGTGATTCACATACTGCCAAGAAAAAACAGCATTGCTTCTAGTTCTAATGAAGTATATTGCATCATCATCATCATCATCATCATCATCATCATCATCATCATCATCATCATCATCCGGCTTTAGTTTATCCAGGCCTGAATTAATCCTCTCCCGAGGGTGGGGCCTGTCTGACTTGTCGTCGTCGGAGACGCCCTCTCTACGCAAAGCGGTTTTGAGGGTCCGTCGTTTCCAAGCCGAGCTTCGCCCGGTCGCTCTTAACCACCTCCTCCCACGTCTTCTTCGGTTTGCTGGGTCCTCTCTGAGAGTCCACCTCGAGCTTACGAGCTCGAGCTATCCATCCGGTACTGTGTTCAATGTAGCCGAGCCACCTCATTGTGCCTGTGCGTAGCACGGTGTCGACGTCCTGGATTATGTATAGTATATAGTATATACTATTCTGTATTGGTCATCCATCATGCAAATGGCTTTTTTACGCCCCTTGGCAGATGCACATAAGCTATGTTACAAACAATCTTACAGTGCACCCAGATGGCCTAAAACTTTTACACATAAGCCTTACATGTTTGCTGTTAGCACACAAGTACAGAAGTCAAATTTGCAGGGATGAACGTATAGGTCTATATATACCTTCATCAAAACTTTCCGCTGCATTGGCCACAAGCCTGCACAAGAGCCATGGTCCGTTGGATACGTGTAACAACGCCTCAGATAAGTCCGGGAGTGGTAAAAGTGCAGGCAGCTCTGCAATAACACACATATTTCATATCAGTAGTGATCAGGCATCTAAGCCACAAGTTCGGCTGTGGCAACCTGGGGTAAGGCATCTCAATGGATACTATTCCTATGTGCATGAACTGTCCTGTATCAAAGCAGTTACGTATCAAGATTCTTCCCAGAACTTTCACATTTGTCGGGTCTGACATGCTTTCAAAGCTGAAGCTAATTTGTGACATCCTATAAATCCCTGACAATGCCTTAATTCCCAGAGCTCTGTGTTTACTTTCGTTTTCACAGCTTGACATATACGTCTTCAAACTAATAGAGTCTACCTGTGTACTGGGACTGCTTATACCAAGCTCAAGTACTGTTACTAGCCATCAGAAATAACTTGTCAAATCCACGACATGCCTTCTGAAACCCCTGAGGATTTTAAAACCTTGGTTGTAGCTATAGATTGTAGTCACCAAAACTAAAGTCCAAGATGCTTCGACAGTTTGTTTGAAGATTAGTAATGAAGAATGGTAAAACTGCTAACCTGCTTGCATGATACAGAGAACGTCCGATACATCGTTCAAGTAAACTTCATTATCGAACAACTCGGAATGCTTTATGTAGAATTCTGTATGATGCTCTTTCATCTGAAAAGACATCAAACCGTGGCCATGTTAGTATTGGACCGCGTATGAGATAGATAATCTGCAAACCTTGATACACATGAGAATCTACGTGAGACACAACAAAACCTGGACATGTCTATAGAACTGAAACCTGTCTATAAAGGACATTTCTCGCAGTTTCCTTGCATGTGGCAATCGTACATTGAAACCACGTCTACAGAATAGACTGTGCCTGTGTATAAATGGCACTTTTGTAGTTTCACTTCAGTGGCAGTTATAAACTGAAACCACACTATAGAACAAACACCTGTATGTAAAGAATGCGTTTTGCATTTTTGCTTGATTGACCCTGAGGGCTGACTGAATGTGACAAAGAGTCGGTAAACCTCATCAGAGATGTGATCGTTTATGTGAGGCAGACATACCTGTGACATAACAAGCAGCAGCTCACTGAGTAGAAGTCTCATCCTTCTGCTAGGCTCGCTACGTTCAAACTCCAGCGCCAGGCCATGTTGCAGAGAACTCGCCAGGATGCTCTCCGACTTGTTGCCTCCGATTTTCTGCCTACATGTTGCATTGTTTCAGCAATTACGTAATGTACTAGTCTAAGTTGGTTCGTACCTATTCTATATATTTGTTGCATTGCTGTCATGGCTAGTGTTACCGGGCATATTAACCCATCTAAGCGCTGGCAATGATGTGTGATGATATAGTGGCGCGATGATGCGTACCATCTCTGGTAACGCTCGTCATCATTAGTAAAAGTTAACGCTTCGTCAACATTAGTAAAAGTATTTGTCATTGTCAAAATATAATAATATATACCGCCAATATTTTTAGATACATGATGTAAAAGCGTGACACTGTTTACGGGCATGGAAGACCAGAGAGAGAGAATCTCCCGGGCCCAATTTATTACTCGAACCCGAGTGGACAATAACAACGAGTTGCGCGTGACGTCATAACTACGAGTATGCATCAATCTGTTACACATGAGAAAAATAGATTAACTTTAATCTCTTTTAAAGCCATCAAATTTCAATACTCGACAATAGTAATTAGTACCGGGTATTCAGGAATCAGTACCGTAGTTGTTGTTCTTTTCGTGCATCCTGATCTAGTTCGTGAAAGTCTATTGACAAGAGCCCGACCAAAGCGTTGACAACCTCCAAGCCATTAAGCAACTTTAATATTACTCTCTTTTCATTCACCCAGTCTTCACTCTTATCTTGGGGCGCACATAGGGACATGCGCACAAGACACGGCAGAAGCGGTACTAGTTCTGCTTCGGAAAGTTGATTTAAAAGTTCACTGTCAACAAATTGTATTGCTCTAAATGCCCGCACCGACACTGGCTCATGCAGCTTCATAATTTCGGTTGATAATAAATATATCTAACTACTAAAAGATTGCCAAAGGCACTCAAAACTCTTAAAAGTGCATCAAAACAAAACAATCAACACAAACCAAACCAACACGCAGCGAACTGAACGGTACACGCAACAGCGCCATCTCGTGGCCAGAGAAGAGTTGTCGGCTTATAGACTGGTACTCGCTCCCACCTCGATTACTCTCTCAACCCTAACCCTAACCCTAACCCTTACCCTAACCCTAACCCCCAACCCTAACCCTAAGCTGATAGGTGGGACCGGGTACCAGTCTAGTCGGCTTACAACACTACAAGCACGCGAGCCACACAGTGGAGCCACATAGTGGGAGAATCTAGAACTAAATGACATGCACTTTCTTCAGTCGAGTCCCTTGCTCGTGATGGAAGGAAATGGCTGCCAGAGGTTTGTTGAAGTGTTAATTTCTTCCGCGAAAAAAACATGTTTTTTTAAACTATGTTGGTCCTTCCGTAATGTAATGACTTATGTTGTTGAGTATGGCTCATGATTATACCGCACTTTAAACATATAAACTTAGAGAACTTACATATCAACATACACTGACTCTCTTTCTGAAACGAGGACGAGGTAGGCCTAGGTACTTATTGTAAACACTACAGCCTCACTACAGCTGACATGACATAATCTGTATGAAATTCTAGGTCATATGTATGTTAACGATTTTCTTCCTTGGTTATATATTAGTAACAGAACAAGAGGACCGTCTCCGATTTCAAATAGAGCTTGAATTCGTTCAGTGTCTTGCTAATCCCAACTATCTACACTGTGAGTACGAGTACGACTACGAGTATTAAAATACGTGATTACAATTAATCTCAACATATCATGGTGAATAAATGTATAGTCATAATGTTCTAATAGTAATAGTGCCATTTACAAGAATGGACCCAAGTGTAATTTAGTACTACCGACGTACCGTAACCCTGGATTAGTTTAGCGCATATGCGAAAATACATCTGCGGGGTCTCAAACTATCTGTGATCCTAAGAATCTGCGTCTGCTTACTACTACTAGCTGTTCAGTAGTTGTTTCACTTTAATACACGTTTACCCTAGAACATTACGCCATGCCCACCTTTGGTGAGACTGACGGTTGTAAGTGTAAATGTAACTTTTTATGTAGAATGTTCTATCGTGTTGATAAGAAAGATTTGAGCTATTAATTAAACGCTTTTTCCTTTTAGTTCTGGCACAGCGAGGTTTCTTCAAGGATCCAGCATTTGTGAACTATCTTAAGTACTTGCAGTACTGGAAAGACCCACCCTATTCGAAGTATCTCAAGTACGTATTGCCTCTGTAGGCCTACATCATGCTAGTTATCACAAGAATTTAATCACAGAAGATCACAAATTCGCTGTTAACATTTACCATATGTGCTTATATTATTTCATATGGAACTTGTGTTACATCATGTATGTACCTGCATAAGTATCAGCAAGGTACAATAATAATAAATAATAATACATAAATATATATAAGATATTGGGATGGCTTACCGTGAAGGGAAGCTTGATTGTTCGGTAATACTGGGGTTAGGGTTAGGGGTATATACTGGGGTTAGGGTTAGGTGTGTACTGCATGTGTGTGTAACGTGTGTGTGTTGTCGCTTCGTCTGTAGGTACCCACACTGCCTCCACTTTCTCGACCTGCTGCAGTACGAATCGTTTCGCAAGGAGATCGCAAACTTTCAGTGCGCCAAGTTCATAGACGACCAGCAGCTGCTGCAGTGGCAGCACTACACGCGCAAGCGCATCCGCCTGCTCAACCAGCAAGCCGAGACGAATCAGCAGCAGCTTCAGCAGCAGAAGTGACCACGTACCCCCGCTGCCACGTAGACCCGCTGCCACGTAGACCCGCTGCCACGTACCCCCGCTGCCACGTAGACCCGCTGCCACGTACCCCCGCTGCCACGTACCCCCGCTGCCACGTACCCCCGCTGCCACGTACCCCCGCTGCCACGTAGACCCGGCAGGGAAACGAGACTGATCAGTGATCGTCACTTCGATCATCACAAAACAATAATTGTGCGAGGTCGTGCTTCGGAGAAACAAAAACATCAATACTCACCGAACGCTCTCTCTCTCGAGATTAAAAATGGCGGACGTCTTCAAGAAGGTGGAGCCGGCGGAGTACTACCGGCGCCACCTGACGCATGACGCGCGGCCGGACGGCCGGCAGTTGCTCGCGTTCCGCGACGTCGTCGTCAGCGTTGGCACGATCGGCACGGCCGACGGCTCTGCGCTTGTGCGCCTCGGGGGCGGCGGCACGACGGTGGTGTGCGGGGTGAAGGCGGAGCTCGCCTCGCCGCGCCCCGACACGCCCGCACGCGGCTACGTCGTGCCCAACGTGGAGCTCCCCGCGCTGTGCGCCGCCACGCTGCGCCCCGGCCCGCCCACCGCGCTCGCGCAGACGCTCAGTCAGGCGATGGCCGACCTCATCGAGAACTCCGGCTGCGTGGATGCCGGCGCCCTCTGCGTGTCGCCGGGCCGCCTCGTCTGGGCGCTGCATGTGGACGCTGTGTGCCTCGCGCACAACGGTAACCTCGCGGACGCGTGCGCCGCGGCCGTCGTCGCCGCGCTGCGTGACACGACGCTGCCGGCCATCACCATCGATGACGAGACGGGCCGCGTGCGCGTCGACAGCGGCCGCGAGAGGGCGCCGGTAGCCGCGAGCGCGTTCCCGGTGGCGGCGAGCTTCGCAAAGTTTGACAACGACATCCTGTTCGCGGATCCGACCGCCGAAGAGGAGGCACTTGCTACGGCGACGGTTACCGTGGCGACGCTGGAGGATGGCTCACTGTGTCTGCTGCACAAGGCAGGTGGCAGTGCAATGACGGAGAAGGAGCTGCAGCAATGCGTCGACCGCGCGCAGGTGCGCGGTGCAGAACTGCGCCACCTGGTAAACAAAGTCGCTGCAAGCAAGGAGTGTTAAGATGGCTCTCACATGCATGACTGTGAACCGAGTGCTGACATGCTCGAAATTTTACGAATTTCGCCTGCGTTGAGTAAAAATCACATTCATGTAAACGTGTGTCTTGTATCCATTGTTACGTCAACGTGACGTATATATGTATTTTGATAATTAGCAGTTAGTTTATGTGTCACTCGGTGTCAGTTCTCACTACATCAGGAGGGAGTAAATTGTTTTTGTATATGTATATCTACATGCAAGGTTTATGTTCTTTCACGTGAGTCATTCGTTTGAGTGTCAGACGAGATGTATATAACTGCAATAAATGTAAACGGACACTTCTACAATCATCATATAAATTTGTTATTTGATATTTATTATGAATGCATTCCACCACTTCATATCATGTGAACACATTCTAATTGAATAGTTGAGATAAACACCTACAATCTATTATGTCATAACTTCATAAGTAACATAACAAGTAGGAGTAATTGTAATATCTTGGTTACTGAGCGCCATGACCCGCTATGTCATAATATGACAGCCTGTTGATAATTGTTTGGGGCGTATGCTCATCTGGGTACGTTTTTGACAAATGGCATGAAATAATGTGATTCCTGACATTCTAGATGCTAATAATCAAACTTCCCCCTGATTCCAAAGTGTATAATCCAAACTCTCTGACTGCAGAGCTGCACAATATTTATGTGAACATTGGACCCGTGTGCTGATAGCAGTACCGGTACGTGTCTGTCTTTGGAGTTCAGACCATACATATTGTGACCCCGCGAAACCCCGCTCACAAAACCTCAGTTTGAGAAACACTAATCTACATTTATGATAATAGATATTCGTGGATCTTGGTGGGTACATTCATAGATAAAAGATATCTATATACAAGACATGATTAGGATTTCATCAGGAGTCTCCAGATATCATGTCATCACACTTTGCCACAGTATCACTGATCTCTATATACTAACAATTAGCTATATAGTATAGTATAGATATAGTTATATCAGGAGTGAATAATAATAGATGATAATAATAATGACATATCTATTATTATTCACTGCTGGTTATATTATTATATACAGTAGAGTAGTTATATTGAGAGATCAGTACACAGTATACATGTGTGTAATAGAAAATATGTGCTCCGTATTTATATATAATATAGCATAATAATCAGTAGACAACCAACAATTTTCTTATGTCTTATAGTAACATTCATTTAGTAATATTTGTATAAATATTTGTCCTGTGTATGTAATGCAAATGTTACATAGATTTAAATATATAAAAAAGTATCACATAAATACACAATGAACACTTTTTATATGTGCTATTCATAACCGATAGATGTCGCTGATATCATTACGATTGCAAAAAGACATCTGAGAAGCTACCTAAATCTGTTATCTAATGTAAACAACTCAAAATTTTGCTAAGTTTAATACGATTTACATCAGGACATATAATATCATTTAGTGATACGGCAGTACTGTATTTAACTTTCTAACATGATTAATTCCGTTGGAGAATCCTGGAATGTGTAGCGTGTGCGGACACTGGTGGCGGTGCGGTTAGGCCAAGGAACGCCTAATTCCTTATTTTAGTTAGTTGATACTGATAGTGATAGGTGGTTTTCCTTCCTGAAAAACCGTAGAGTTTGTCCCAAATTTAAATCCTTGTGAATTTTGTCAAGAAACGTAACAGTTAACACTGATTTGACAGGGTAAGACAACACTGTCACTGTAGTCTGTAGTCTGTAAAGTGTAGGAAGTGTCTGACTCTGAGTCTGAGTTCATCATTTCATGCCTACAATACAATACACTACAGCTAGTCTACACTGTTAAAATTTAAATATCAGTATTCAAAAATTCATTTTCGTTTTCATGATTACTAGAATGAAATGAATCACATACTATAAGAATTTATTTTTATGCCAGGTGTTTTTGTGGTAGGATTTCTGTTGGTAGGTTTGTTGATAATTTAAATCACAAATAATTATTATTGCTTGTAAAGTGCAGCAGGCAGGTTTTGCTATAAATTTGTCATTAACATCTCCCAAAATTTTACAAGGTATCTATTTTATTGATGGTACAATAATCATTCTGTCATTACATCCCAAATTTGTGCGTGTGTTGTTGTTTATATTCGTCATCCGTGTGCAATGCTGTTCAGGTTTGTGCAGGAGACATTGTGATCACTGGCATGCTGTCACAAGTTGATGCTACACGATTGGCTGCGTATATCAGCGGCCAGATCCCACGTCGTAACTCTCAGCATTAACAACGTCGTATTCCATCAGTCATGATGATGATGCAGCGAATCGCAGGGCAAGTACAGTTACATCAACACAATTATTTTATAAATATCTAAGGTGATCTGATGATTTCTTATATATATGAGTT